TATCTGATTTATAGCAACAACCAACTCTACGGCAAGGGTACAACTGCCTTCTTTACAAACTGGATGGGGTTCTCCATGTCGTTCACTGAACTACTGCAATGTTTATTGGATGATCTGCAAAATGTTGACCTCGCTGCGATATATCTGGTGATGAAACACTGGCATATCAGCCATTGTAGGACCCGGGGAGAAACATTCAACGACCTGCAAGCGGGGTTGGCGTTCATGAGCTGAAATGTAAGTTATAAACCACTTATTCCACCCTGATTGCTTATGCTGCTCAATGTGCCTCTTTACCCAGGAGAACAATAATCGATTACGACATGCAAAAATATCAGGCCCACCCTGAAGGTTTCCATCTTGAATGGCCTTCAGGTGTATCTCCAAGCTTAGACACCACAGATTGGGTTGTTCGAATAACCACAGGCTGCTTGCTGCCCCCTCCAAGCCCATGACTCAGTGCTGAACTACCACTCTCATGGATTGCCATTGTTATCTCGCGAGAGGGTTAGAGTCATGTAATCCAGGGCACCTCGCATACCAGAAAGCTTATGTGGAATTTGTTAAGTCTCGGATTTTTCATTTCAGGCAGCTTTTGATGGGGGGTACAGCAAGTATGGTCTTCAATTTTAATGAGTTGCACCAGATCTTTCAGGACATGCTACAGTCATCAGTCCTGAAACACTGTTGCCTTGATGTAGAGCTTCTTTCGCTCTGCCAATACTTTTTTGAACTCACACAAGGAGGGCCAGTGCAACTCTTTTGGTCCACCGAGGCCCAAGAAGGGAAAAAAATCATCATCAAGTGGATCAAGGTGAGCAACGCATTTCTGGATTGGATTCCTATACCAACTCCTCATCAAACTGTACTGAAATTGACAATTCGCCTCCCTAATAGACCTTCCCGGACAGGTTCACTGAAAAAGCTCAAGCTTTGAAACAGCAAGTCCTGGCCTTGCCGTGGCAACAGCCACCCATGACACGGCAGTGACAGTGACGAGACAATCACTCAACAAAACCGATTTCTTATCCCTGTCATGAAGTGCCGCTTTTCCCCTATCTTTTTCCTTTCTTAGCGCCCCTTTCCCTTGCAGCGCCTGTTTGTCACTTTGACGCCCATCTATTACTTTGACGCCTACCAGATACCTGGTTCCCCTCTCTTCATCATTCCCATCATTTCCCTCCTCATCCTTGTTCTTTCACATCGTCTTCACAACCCATCCTATCCATCGTTTTCTTTGTTCTCTTTGTTCTTTTATATACAACAGTTACTCGTTCTGGACTCGTTCTTATTCCATACCTGGACTACTATTGTTCTTTCCTTGTTCCCTATTATCTTTCTTTATTCTCGCGCGACTCATACCTCAGTATATAAGCTAGACAGTTTACACCTGGTCCCTCATCTTGACCTCTTGTCATTGGGACCAGGTGAGTAGCTAACTTCGTTTCTCTTTACCCTCAATATATCTAACTTGTCATTGGGACCAGTTATCTACCTGCTCTTGCTCTCTGCTCGCTGTCTCTGTTGTCTCTGTCGTTGTCTCTGCTAGTCGACGTCCGCCGCCGTTGTTTCTATAGTCCAAGCGTCTAGCGCTTTAGGACAATCCCCTTCGTCTATCGACGACCGTATGCACACATGTTAAGCGTACTACGTACATGTACTGTTGGTCCAGAAATGGAATAGCCCTAGGAGACTCAGCAGTGTACACAAGCTAGTTTATTTTCATTTGATACTCTACATTGCTGAATATTCTTCGTGTCTTGAGATTTTGTGTGGGCTTCAGAAGATCGGACACATATGGATCTACAATATTGGCAGTGCATGGACAGACTATTCACTCAAACATCATTGCTCAGAAGCCATGTCTTCAAATATCCCGGACTTCTCCCAAACCTGGTGGCGCGCCAGGCTATGGGTCCATATAGGTCCGAAATAGCCATCCCGCAAGTTCGGATCCGAGGGGTCTTAGATTCCGTATGGCAAGTGACTCTGAGCCGCAAACGCAATCACAGCCTTCGATGGCTAATACACTACCTGTATTCTTCTCGCAGGCAGAACGATATAAGTACCATATTGTCTAGGGATGCACGCCCCATATTTCATATATAAACAAGGTCTCTAACCATGGTCTCTACTCGAATTGAGAGCAGAATTGATTCAAATGGCGTAACCCGCCTTCGAAGCGCGATTTTCTTCCCAAGTTCAAAGTTGACACTCATTTGACGAGGCCTGGATGTTTGAGCTCGTTTGAATCTGGGCTGAAGACTGTATTAATAGAACTCAGTTTCAACGTACCGAATAGACTTCGCCACGCTCCCTGGAGGTACGAAGGCCGGTGAAGTGAGTCTACGTACCGAGGACTCGACATGGTACACTTTCGGATCCCTCCCCCAGTGATAAACTGTTCCCGTGCAACGCTATCCTTCGTTCAAAAAAAAAAAAACGCAAATCCCGTTTAATTTTCGTTCGAATGACCATTTGAAGTCGTATTGATTCCTCTTAATTATGTTGGTCAAATAATCGCACACGAAATCCATCAAAATCGGGGCCACAGCAAATATGGGGCGGGGACGCCAGACCGATTCAACTTTCAAGGCGGTCAAAATGTTCGATTATTAATTCGAGCGAACCTCATTCGGAAGTATATCTCTGCATCGCCTGGTATCGTACCATCGAAACGACGCCGACAGGAAGCAGATAAGCCGCTATAAGTGTCATGGAAGAAAGAGAACGGAGTGCAGAAGAAAATCGGAAGGAGCTCAAGGACTTATAGAGCTAGGAGCGTCCATATTCGGTCGAGAACGTGGAGGTCGATTGTCCGAAGGAAGTCGACACGGAAGAGAAATGATAAATGAAAAGGTCATCAACATCGTAAAGCAAGAAAAGCAAAACGACAACTAGACTACAAACCCTATTGACGCTGTATCGGTTATTCAAGCCCGTTGGAGATTGAAATACTATGGTTTTGAATACCCGAAGTGTTGGCGATTGAAGCTTACCGATTTGCTTGTGGACTGACGGCGGGCAGCTGCTCTGTAAACGAGTCATGTTCGTTCTCAGGCTGGGTTACGGTCAAAATGTGTAGGAATGCCTCGTACCTTGTAAGGTCTGTAGGTATGGCCGAAGTTCACTGATCAAGAATAGCATGTGTCTGATTCGCCGATGAGGCGAATCTCCTTGCCCAGCAGAGAAGGTCGGGCCCTTCATCCAAAGTGGTTTGACCATTTTCAAGCCGTAGGGTTTGGGTCGGGATTCACATTAATACACTTTTCGTAGGCGAAATTGCCTACACCGAAGCAGCCATAGCTGGATGAGCCACGGGAGAGAAGGAGGGAATCAGTAACACGTATACACATTTCGAGAAAGCTGATCGGACGGTACGCACCCCAATCCAACCAAGTTGGTGACCTTCCATGCCAGGTACAAATCTCTCGTCCACACCGAGCTCGTCAAATGATAGCTAGAATCATTGGCCCCATCGAAGCTTCTTGAACCGTGTCCACTGTTGTTTGTACGACAACCGTAAACGATTCCCGCTCCCCGACCACCAACCCCTTATCCCATACATCCGTACAACATGCGGTCCAACGATATCCCTCTCTCCCCTCTCCGATAACGACACCGGCGCCCCACCCTGTGACTGTGCCTCCCGAATCATCTCCATGACGTTCCCTGCATGGGGTTCCGCGAATACTCGAATTAGGCTTCACATCGTTCCTTTGTCCCGTGATTCCCTAGCAGCTTCGAGCAACTCCTCAGTAAACTCCTCCAAAGCACCTCTCTCTGCACGATAACTCTCCATCTGTTCAATATGCATAGCCGCGCCTATTGGGATCTGCTTGACCGCCAGCGAAACAGGGGCATCGTCTAAAACGATCGCGTGTGCTGTCCAACCCAATTCGAGAACGCAAGGTTTGCATTTGAGGTGTTTAGGACATTCGAGAGCGATGATCTTGCCCACACGGTCTGAACCGGTAAAGGCGACCTTCCGAGCTTGAGCATCAACGATGATTTCGGCTGTGAAGGTAGGTGTGTCTTCCTTCCTGATTGATAGAAAATTGTACACTCCGTCGTGTAAGCCAATTTATATGAGGACTTCGTCGTAAACGATTTGTGGAGACAGCTTAGAGGGGCGAAAGACGACGGTGTTGCCGAATAAGATGGGGATTGTCGTTGCTCGAAGGGTTAGGGCGATAGGTCCATTCTGAGGTAATTGAGTGAAGATGGCGCCGAGTGGGTGTTTTCTGGTTGAGACGTTGATGGTGGAGGAGCGGGATGAGAGGAATATGCAGCCAACGTTTTGTGTGGTGATGGTGGAGGCGCTGGATCGTAAAAACCTAGCTGCGGTAGCGTAGTTGAATATGGCCATGTCGAGAGAGACGCCGGTTTCTTTGGTTATGGAGGTGATGATTCAGTCTTTCCAGTCTCCCCCTCCTTCTCCTTCAAGGAACTCGGTAGCTCGGGTGAAGATGCGGATTCTGGTGCTGGTGTTAATTTGACTTCAGCCTCGGAAGGCATTGTGGGCAGCAGAGATGGCATCTTGGCAGTTCTGAGAGGATGTGCTGGCGCAGGTACCGACCGGTTTGAGGGATCCTGGGGTGAGGATGTCGAATGTTTGGGTGGTTTTGATGGGTTGGCCGTTTATGTACAGCGGTGTGTATGGGAGGGAGGTGGACATGATTGACGGCCAAGCAGGATTGATATACGTTTTATCGATTTGGCTTTGTGAGAATCCATGTGCAAAGAGCAGATGCCGAGAAATACGACGAGTGGGGGGAAAACATCGATGGTCGTGACGAGAGTCAGAACAAGAAGCACCGGCCCGGATCAAAGAGTCGCGTTTTTGGGGCGACGGAACATCTCCAAGCTTCTCAAAACTATGCGATTTCTGACTCCGTTTTATGCCTTTTGCTACGTCTCATGTTACCTCTGGGACATTCGTTGACCCCCCCAAAAAATGATCCAGGCAAAACTAAGTGCACGCGAGAGTACAAGCTTGATACACCGTTCGGGAATCGAACCCGAGCCACTTGCTCAAGGTTACGTATGCGAGATTATGGAAGGCAAGCATGATAACCACTTCACCAACGGTGTTCTAAAAGCAGTGCGCCAAGACTATCCATGATCAAAGTCCGAACAGAGATGTGGGTGCAAACTTCTGTGTCCGAAGCGCTCATTCTCGACTTCTTGGAGTTGAACTTCGACGACCGATTTTTTTCCCTTCAACTTTCCGAGCCTGAGTTTACTCTTTTCAGCTCAGAACGGATCACAGGGCGACCGATCTATGTACTGCTCCGAGTCGACAGTCTAAGCGTACAAAGCACTTTTCTATCAACAACATCACGTCGACAGGCTCTGGCTAGTTTTCGTGTGCCGACTGTATATAAAAAGGTACATCAGTGTCAAATTCGATTGCTCTAATCTTTGCTGGCCTGACCAAAACAACCTAGCCCTTCACTACGATGTTCCTCCTCCCTCTCAACATCAAACACGGCCCATCGCTCTCCTCAAACAACCGGACGTTAGAAGAGCAACATAGCCCGGCGATGCGAGGCACAAACAAACGACCCACCAAGATCGAATTCGACATCTTCTTTGGAATATCTCAACGCCGCCCGCGTCGCTGCTTCCAACCACCACCATGTTGGGGGAAAGTTCGGCATCTCGAATCAAAACACTCTCTGTTACCCCCTTGAGCCACGTCCGGCGTAGATGATAGCGGATGAGGTGGAGCTATGGCAGACAATAGAACGGAAGGTGCGTTGCCAATGTGCATTGTGTTTGGCAGTCATCTTACTTTTTTAATGGATCGGGCGGGTCTGAAAAAAAAAGCTTTTTCGACAATTCGTTAGGTGATATGATCCAAGCTATGGACTTGGTCGCCGACTTTCTGCTCGCTCGCACCAAGTTTGGTGACCCCAGCATATCGCTTGTTGTGCCTTACCCTCTCGATCACAACGGAGAAAGGCTTCTCGTAAGGGAAACTGTTGTGACTCCCACCGCCCATCATCACCATCTGGGAAGACCTCAACGCAACAAAGGCTCGCCGTCTCTACCTCTCCTCACTCTCCACCAATGGTCCGTGACGCCGACGAATATTGTCAACCAACGCTCAGCTATACCCCTTACAACGAGATCAAGAGGTCCGTACCGCATTGTTTCTCGGTTCTCGCCCCCGTTTTCATACACTCTCTATCCAGCAAGGACTTGAAGTCTGTCCCGTCTGTGACTGGCGAGCACGGGTTTCTATTATTTTTTGCGGCAGTGAATCAGAAGGACGAGAAGACGGGAATATGGTCTCAGATAAGCAAGAGCGATACTGAAACTGTTCGGGGCGGTGAAGCTTGAAGCTTGAAGACCTGCGACAAAGAACAAGTTCGTTCACATTCCCTTTCAATTTTTTGGTTCCCTTCCACATACCCCCACCTTTCGAGTACTTTCCGTTGCCTATTTTCGTTCTTACTAAGACTATCTTCCTACATATTTGCTTATCCACCTACCTGGTACCTTCGTTTCAATCCCAACCCAATCCACGATTTCCCCTCGACTTTCATTCCCCGTGACGTTCAACGAGACCCAATTGATCGACTGATCCTTGTATCGTTTGATGGCACCCAACACTCCACCAATCACAATGCGACTTCAATAACCCGCTAGAAACATATCTCTCAATCGACATGTTATCAGCTTCCTCAGCCTTCCAGGTCCTTCCCCCTCTACTGGGTTTTCTTTTTTCGCTCATCTTTTGATATCGTACATATCCATTTCTATAATAGAAGGCTACTTCAACTACTAGAGACACCGAAATTGAAGTGCAAGGAGAGGATGATAAGCTCTCTTTTGTCAGTCTAGCTCCTGAAGCGAACCGCATGGAACTCTTCTACTCTCTGGCACGCCGTGTGCACAGTTTGGTACCTATGCAAGTAGTTGGTCCTTCATTATGTACTTGCGGTCCACGCGCACAATAGCCTTCGCGTTCATGCCCGCTGATCTGAGGTGTAAGTAGGTGTGAGAAAACTTCCGGTTACTGTATGTGCCTGCCGCTTGAAGCTCGAACATTGACTCTCACGACGTCGACGTTCTCCTCGACCAGCGAATCCCTCACGGCGAATACTGGACATTGAGGACTCCGTGCAAAAAACAAAACGATCTGCTATCACATTCTATGATTCCTATATATCAAACCAAGGAATCTGGATTCTGAAGGGCTCATACCAGTCGTGCAGGAAACTGAAGGCACTTGTCAGCTCGCCCAGCAAAAACTCGGTTTGAGTCGTGGTCTGCTGCACCCTAAGCGGACCTTTCGATTCAACTTTGTTCCACTCAATAATCTGTAGATGACAACGAATTCAACGAGTTTCGGAGGGAGTGGGAGGAGCTGGGGAAAGGGGTGAGGTGAGGTGCAGTCGCGACAATGTAGAGAGAGAGAGAGAAAAATCCTCTTGAAACATCTGGAAGATACGACCCAAAACACTCTGCGTCTTCGTCTTCCGTTGCCGTTGGAGTAAGGACTGACGCGGATGACTCAGATCCATTCGTCTGCTATGGTCTACCTTGACAAACAAAAATCTCGAAATGGCCAGTACGCGTACATCACGGTGCATGGTCCATTTCCATTCGCCTACGTGGCTGTCCTCCAGAGTACATGCTCCTCCAAACTCTGCCTCTTCACCATACTGGTCTCCCAACGATTACGTCTAGACGTCGAGCTCTCCTGCTGTTGTGGTGTCTTTCATCCAATACTTGTTTGAAATTCAAAACGGCACTTGTTTTGTCCGGGCATTGAATAGTTGGAGAAGCGAGGAAGGATACGGCTGCCGTTTAAGGGCTTGTGTTATGATTTTTTTTCGAGATGATGAGCCGACATGCAAGAGTGGTCACTGGTGCCGGTGAGTCAAGATATCTTTTTCGTTCCTTGGCATCATTCTGGACATTACTTACTTAGGGGAGTCTAAAATTCCCTATCCACGCTACGGCTTGCTTTCCCGTTCACCCCGGTCGACATTATTGCATTTTTAGATGCTCCAAGCCTCCAAAAAGCGCACTCTACGATCATTAGTCCCTGAAATGCCATATCCTTGAGTCCAACTGAGGGGCGAAATTTCTGTTTATTCCCTACTCCTCACTCTGATCTTCCTTCGTTAACCAGTGATAGTGAAACCCGGAACGCGAGCGGGAAAGAGAACTTGGAACTCCCCCTATTCTGACGGCTAGCTGGCTCCGGCCATCTGCATCAGAGATCGAGCAGATGGAAATGTCAGATCAGGAGTCAACAAAAATCTGGCGCAACTTACGTCTACGAGCTCTGCGCATGCTTTGTTCGGGTGCAAACTTATACGCAAAATCGCCCGCCGTCCGATGTATCGATAGTCTCATGGATCCGGGACGGGCGACTGAGGACTCTTTCGCGTGCTTTTCCCCCTCTCGACTAGCGAATGCGTACTCGGATTCTCGCTCTCTCTGAATGGATTTTGAGGAACCCGTTGTCCCTTCGAGATACAAGCTTTGCACACATGCACCTTGTGGTGTTTCGCTTGTCTTCCGTCACCGAATTGATGTTCATACTCACCATTTTAGCATCACTGCCGAGACCATACCAATCTGGGAAGAATAATCGTCGAGCCCCGTTCTTACTATATCTCCAAAGGGCCATCGGTATTGAGTATCGAATAATCTAGCTTCAGGAACGATTCCTTGAACCCCTGACTTGACAGAGGAGACAACGCGCGGAACCCGTGTGGCGTTCATCGGCACAAGCGCGCTCAATCCATTTTGTTACACCTCCAAGATTACGGTTCTGTAGACCTCTTGGGTGAACGGACCAGAGGGTTTAACCTGAATCGAGAGCATAGAAACAGCCCGGGCAAAGCCGACTTGAGTTGTGGATTCCTTTAAAAGACGAATCGGAGGGTGAAGGTCCCCTCATCAACTTACTCGTTCGTTGATTCTTCCGTCTCTACTTCGTATCTTTTGTCGTTCTTTTCTGAATCCTTGACCATCCCCAAAGATGGCACCTCAAGCTGCCTTCATTATGACAGTCTCACTCTCACTCTCCTTACTATCATTTATACCTACTACAATGGCGGCAGACTGTAAGACCGCCACCGTTGGCTCACCCTACTCGACATGCTGGGATATCGCTGTGCGTCTTCC